AGCTAACCAAACAATATGTAAGTAAATTTGAAAATAAAGTGTATTTGAAGGATCTTGAAGGATTTGAACCACCATCGCTTGAGATGTGTTGGAGACATGCTCCCATTCTCAAGGGCTCTACCATTTGAGCTAAAGATCCACTTAATTACAAAATCCATTGTCAAACCAAGAATTTCATTTCATACGAAACTATATGAATTTAAAAGCAAACAATGGTACACGTATACAATCGATTCAAGCAAAGAAAAAAAAACATACATCAAGATCAAAGCAGATACGTGAAATGTATCAAAGGAACTAACCTTAACGCCTCGAGCACTCCACTCCACTCCATTGACGACAACCATTGGGACGCATCTGGAAAGAATGATCCACTAGTTTGGTTATTTGCAGCTGGTAACCATGATCCACCACTACCATAATCAGTGTATTAACCTGATTTCAGACTAACACACTACTCTAGGTCGGATTGATTATGAGGACCTAGGAGGGGATTGGATTATGGAAATGGCTGCACTTCGGTTGAGGTCGAAGTTGCCTACGTACTCTAGTTCGGGGATCTTGAACTTAGAGATCAAGCCACCGTAGTTCTGGGGTTTTATAGAGATGATGAGGCGGTGATTGAGAGATCTTCCTTCATACGGCAGGTAACCAGTTTGACCTAGTTTGTTCATCAAGTCATCCAGTGATTGAGTTATAGAAGATAACAAACACTTTGCATGCCGATCGGATATCTTCAGTATGTGAATGTAATACGTTTCTGTATCTGGACTGGCCGAGCTGATAGATCGAGTAGACGAGGTCGGTGATACTGTATCAGGTCGGGTCGTTACCAGTTCTTTAGGTCGGTTATGATGCCACGTGTCATAACCTGATTGGGTGGAATATCTAGTACCACTACATAAGCCCCCTCTTTTTAGGTCGAGTGAAGATCGAGCTGAAAAGGAGATTAACCGCTAGGTCAGCTAGGCATTCAGGTCGTGCTGTCATACGTGATAGGTGTAATGATGGCATGCAGTGGGAAGTGGGAACGTTTCGCCTCGAGCAGTTGAACCGTCAGTCAAAGTAACTGCAACACGTTTAGTGTGTTTCATCTCCTTTGGACGCGTGTCCAGATCCAACGGTGGGGAATGAACAGACTAGCTAGTGGAGGATAACTGTCTGACTCTTCATTAATGGTGATGACAGCCGTTGATGCAAACGAAATCGATGGTTGGGAAGGGTTGGGTGCATCTATAAATAAGCCGTCAATGTCAAACCAAATCCGTAGTAAACGTAACTGAGTCGAACTGCTGCCGGTTTTGCCCTCGATCTGGTGTGAGCGATCGGTCTAGAGGTTAGTTTCTTTCTCTAACTCCCATCGTAATCTGTCTGAATCATAGTTCATTCTGCGTGATGTCTTCTGTGTCGGATTCACAAAACGAGAAAACTGAGAGTTTGAGCACGGGTGGCTCCTCTGGGGAGATAGAAATTGTAGATGAGATAGTAGGTGAGGGATCCTCTCCTGGGTCTGATCAAGGGTCTGATAGTGAAGATGAACCTTTGATCGAGCACGAGGGTAAACAGGTCAGAGTTGTAAATAAAAAGTACAGTCGAAAGTATGAAAATGTAAGGTCAGCCTTTGGGTTTGCTAGTCTTCTGCATATAGAAATGAGGTTCTTAGGTGATAGGCTTCTCACCCCGACCTATACTCCCAATAATCCTTTTTCTGTAGTTTTCACTTTAGCTCAGTTTCGAGCAGGTCTTCGTCTACCCTTGTCAGATCTGGTCGTAGAATTCTTGAACACTATTAGACGGGCTCCCTGTCAGATGAACGGGAATTTTTGGAGGAATATGCGAGTAATAGACCGCTTAAACCTCTCGAAAGATTGGAATATAACCGTGGCCGACCTGATTGGTCATTTTGCGGTGAAGAGGTCGCCTAAGCCTGAGCTTTTAGGGTATAATCTGCAAGTGAGACCAGGTCGCTTGCCATTGATTCACGGTCCTTCTAGTGATCAGTGGTGGGAGGATCCTGTGTTGATGACTGGAAAAATAACCAACCAACCCTTGGATTACACTTCTGTGAATCCTGATGATGAACGTGAGTTGTAGTGTTATCTAATCCGAGCTTTGGTTTGTCTTTTGTGATAAATAGGCTGAGACGATGTTTTCTTGATTGTGCAGCTATTCGTGAAGAGGTGCTGACTGTGAATAGCGAAGTAGTGAGCCAGCTGAACATATTCGGCTCGAGATCGGACAGTTACAAGATCGGTCTCTTTCCCGACCTGAAGGAGTTGTTTACACCCAAGGGCGGTCCAGGTACTATCAGTAAAGAGCTCGCAAGGAGAAAGGGTTTGCAAGCTGATTTCATGGCCTTTGTTAAGAAAATGAGTGCTGAGGAGAAGAACAAAGCTAAGTCGTTGCTGGAAGGTGTGAGTAGTTCGGCACCTAAGCTTCCACCTGCGACCTTGCCCAAATTTAGTGCCTCATCGAAGAAAAGACCTCGCTCAGGGATGAAGCTCGACCCAGAGCCTCAGTTCGTGACGACTAGCTCGAATTTGAAGATTAGCTCGTCGCCAAGTAGTCAGGTCGTGGCGAAGAAGCAAGCTGGTCGGGGGTCTAAGGGTAAACAGGTCGCCGAGGTTTTTTCTCCTGGTCCGTTCGTGTATCTGGGGCCGAACAGTGAAGAAGTGTCTGTGATGACGAATGATAGTGCGCTGATGGACCCTTTGGTAGCTCGAGCTGTTAATGAGGGGATTGTGCTCGGTGCTGATGCTGCTGCTGTTCAGAAGCAAAGCCTATTCGAGATGTGTTCTCATATGAACTCGTGTATAAGTGTGGTAAGTGCCTTTGCTTTCTTACCGATTTGTAATTCCATGAACTGGTCAGCCCCTGAAGCGGAATCTATGTTTGTGTTCTAGTTTAATGCAAACTTCCAGGGTCTTCGATTGATTGCTGAAGCTGGGGCTGAGGCAGATCTTGAGCTGAAGACAGTGAAAGACTCTTTGTATGAATATAAGAACCGATCATTTCTGGCCGAGCAGCAGGTGAGAGACTTGACCCAAGAACTATCTGTGAGGAAGAATGAGGCGGAAATTCTTGCTAAAACTCTGGCGGAGGAGCAGAACAACCACAAACTTACTTATGAAGCATGGAAGGCCCGTTGTGACGTTCTGACCTCTCAATTGAGTGAAATGGGGTCGCCAGAGGAAGGAGAGACGCGAGCGGTGGAAGAGCAAGTACCCTCGACACCGATGGACTCCCTGGGTGGCCCTGCTGGAGAGGTCGAGAAGGATAATATGCACCTTGATTGATATCTTTTCTTTTGAGTGATTGTGAGGCTTGATCAATTCTCTTTCTTTCTTTCTGAAAACAATATTGGTTGTGGTATGGCCGTGGTGCCAAAAAACATTAGTGATCGGTCTTCTTCGGGGGATCGATTGCGACCTGGTTGCTGGAGCTCGTTGTAGTTGAAAACATTAGTGATCGACCCTCCTCGGGAGGTCGGTTGCGCCTTCTATTTGGCACTTAACTTTTGAATTCGGTTGAAAAAGTTGTAACAGCCTCTGGGCGGTCTAGTTTCCAGGTTAGCCTGGTGGATCGTCCAGAAGGTTGAATTTTGATTTTGACGAGATGGATAGACGCTAGCAGGCGATCTGAAACTTTGAACTAATGATAGTATGCTTTAGGTGCGATCTGAATGTGTAGCATAGAATATCTATTGTGTTGTATCTTGCTCGTAAATGTTTTGCAGGTCGAAGATCGAGCAGATGGAGCGCGGAAGCCCCCAGGCGAAGATCGAGCTGCTGGAGCGCGGAAGCCCCCGAGTGAAGAATTGCAATGTATAGATCGAGTAGATTGTAGCTAGGGGTGCTCGGATTAGATCGAGCCCCCAAATGTAAAAATCTCTAAGTGTTTAGGACTTAAAAATTTGTACATGTAGACAACAGTTATCAATAAAAGTGAAAGTATTTCTTTTATGATCTGAGTCCCTTATGAAATTCTACTAAGTATGTTGATTTCGAACTGTGTAGAATAGCTCGGGATGAATAGATACTTAGCCAATTTCATACATTGTTGCATAATCGAGTTGTTGTCGATCTAAGCATAACCAAGCAATGCATAAGAAATAGGGTATATGCAAGGCGAATGAGCTCGTTTTAAGTCGTTCGGTGTAGTGGACTTAAAACCAGGTTAAGTTATGAAATAGAGGTATAACTTAACCAAGTATGCTAATACCATGTGTAAGATATGGCGAGCATAGGTCGAAATAAGGATTTGACCTAGGTGTATTCAGGCAAATGCATTGGGATAGAGTAAAATGCAAAGCAAATTTGAGCTCGGAAAAAGTGATTCTATTGATAGAATTTTTTTAAATGGAACGCATTCCAAGGATTGTGTACATCATCACCTTCTTGTGTTTGGAGTCTGTAAGCTCCATTGTTTAAGATACTCTTGATGATGTAGGGTCCTTCCCAGTTCGCATTGAACTTTCCAATCTTATCATCCCTCTTGTTTGGGAACATTCTCCTCAGGACCATTTCGCCGGGCTGAAAGGTCCGAGGTCGAACTCCTTTGTTATAAGCTCGCTTCAATCTCTGCTGATACTGCTCGAGTTTCTTAGCAGCATGGTATCGCCTTTCTTCAAGTAGGTCGACTCCAAATGACCAGATCTGATTGTTGAGCTCGGTGTCGACCAGGAGTGATCGACTAGAACCATAGGTCAGCTCGGTTGGTATAACTGCTTCTACCCCAAAATATAGTGAGAAAGGGGACATGCCTGTGGACGATCTAGGTGTGGTACGATAAGCCCACAGAACACTCTCTAACTCATTAGCCCAGTTTTCAGCATGAGCTTCTAGTTTCTTCTTTAGAATTTCCAAGATTTGCTTGTTTGCTGCTTCGGCCTGACCATTACACTGTGGATAGCGAGGAGCCGACCTGGCGTGCTCGATTTTCCACAGGGCATAGAATTCTTTGATTGTCTTTCCAACGAACTGTGTGCCGTTGTCTGTGACCAATCTTTTTGGGAGACCAAACCTTGTGATGATATTTTCCCAAATGAACTTTTGGACGTCCTCTTGCTTGATGTTGGAGAGAGAGACAGCCTCAATCCACTTAGTAAAGTAATCACATGCGACTAACACATACTTGAGT